GTTTATAATTTTTCATTAAAATTATTAAATTTTAATAATTAAAAGTCTAAACAGGATTATAACATAGTTTTTCTGAATTGATTATGCTGGAGGTTATAAACATCAATTCAATAATGTTTAACTATCTACCAATTGCTTTTTTCCACCTAAAGCAAGGTTTTGGTAGACCACTCTCTAAACTACATAAGGTAAAAGATTTTTAACTGTCTTATGGTTTCTATAAGGTTTACCTGGAAACTTATAAAACACGATGTGTACAGGGGTAATATTAATTTATTACATTATATATAATTTAGATTTTATGTTCTTTTAATAACATGATGCTACACACTACTTTCTTCTGAGTCAAACTACCATCTTCATGACTTCAGCTGTGTCCACAAACAAAAGATCATCACAATTGGACTTGTGGACTTAAGTATCTAATTAAAGGAGGAGCAGAAAACAGGATCATTGGACCCTCACCTGAGTATCCAGCTGCTCTTCCCAACCAACTGTATGTAATTTGGCCCTAATCATACATGGTCTCCTGGGTTTGGGGAGGACTAAAGTGTATTATCTGGGGAAGGTTAGGAAGGGAAGGCTTGATCCATGCTGGGTTAAGGCTTTCCAGTGTAAGTACTCTCAGGTCACTCATATACCTCAACAACCCCTCAGTCATGTCTGTAACTAAGCTCGATAAATTCATTGGTTCCCCCAAAAAACTTTAATGTAATCAAACATTGGTTTGATACTACAACCTAAAAGGGGGAAAAACATTGCTTAATATCCCCAGAAAAGAATTCTCACAACAGATGGAAAGTTTATTTGTTAATGTTATTATGTCTTATGGTTATTAAAAAAGAGAATGGTAAGGTAAAAGATGTTAGAAGGATATAGGAATGGAAGTATTTTGTTAAAAATGAAAAAGCCTAAACAAATGATGGAGGCCTATGTAGGTTTGTTACAATTTACCAAGCATGAGAAAAAGATTTTAAAATTTCTAAGGTCATAGCTTAGTCAACTAGTTTAAGGATATCTCATCAAAGTTTATTTTAAAATGTTTGGGTTTTGCCCAAGCTCTATCTACATAGCACATGGTAATTAAAAGAACCAGATTGGTGTAACAAACCTTCTTGGATGTTTAATAGAGAGACTTTGAGGCCTGTACTAATCTGGTCAGAGGGACTTAAAGGGACAATTTTTTGTTCCTTGCCCTCCAAGGTCAAACAAGTTCCAGGGGCTATGGAGCATCTCTTGAAGAAATGTCCTGTAACTTTGGTGAGTCACCTGTCGTCTTGTTCAGGGAGGCCATGGAGACTCCAGAAGATGGACTTGAACCAGTATCCAGTCTGCAAAGAGGAGGGTCAACACAGAGGAAACGTTTCCTCCATGCTTCCAAGCAAAGCCCAGGTCAAGCAAGGCCTCTTGGCTTATCTTCATGTAGATGGAACTGGTAAAGAAAAGCCTGAGGAGCCAGGGGATCCCCCCAAGCCCATATGACCCCTGAGAAACAGATCTTCATATGACCTTAAAAGTAATAATATATTGGTTTATTTGGGCCAACTGTATGGCCTTAAACACCCAAGGGGAAAGTATAACCAAAGATTAAAGTAATCAATATATTTCTTTAAAAACTCAACGGATTACACATCCCAGACATTAGACTTAAGTTCTTATGTTATTTAGACAATTATTTCTCATTGGTGATTTTGTTCCTAATAGGACAGTGCTACTCAGATGTAGGACTTTATATCTTGGTCTACAATACCGTAGTGCCCATCTGCAGCTGAGGGAAACAACTCACGATTCTAAAATGATGGCTAAATTTGTTTTCTCTCCCTATCTAGAGGCCATTTAAGAGGGAGCTGATTCTAGCCACTTCAATAGTTATCAAAGTGCCTGACAACAAATCCTGAGTTCATCAATCATTCCAGCCTTGACAGGCAAAAGAAAAATAAGGAGAAACCCACTAGATGGATGCTTTTGGGAGCCCTCATTAAGAAATTCCAATGGACTTTAATTTGGACATTTTCTGGTTCCCTGCCTAGAAATTGTAATACTAACTACTCTTGCCCTTACTCTTACCTTTACTTTTCCTTTACATCTTCCAGGCACCAGTCAAATACCTTTCTTTTATCCCTATAGTTAAGAGATATGTAATTTGGGAGTCTTTTAGATGGACCCACTGAAGGGGGTACCCCAAATGCCTCACCCTGCATCCCTGTTCAGCATGGAAGAAGCCAGAGCAATCTGTGTCCCAATTCCCTATTGGCAATTTGGGTAAGCCCCTTCAGAGGGTGATATGATAAAAATAGGAAATAAAAATTGGCTAGGCAGCTAGGATAAAAAGACTCCAAAGAAAAGTAGCCAGTTTCTTTCTTGGCTAAAAGTCAAAATGTCCTTGGGCCTTTTAACAAAGTACTCTGTCCCAAAGGCCAAAAACGTTAAAAGTATTTGTGAGCTCTTATCCCCAAAAGATTTTGGAGTTACCTCTTCAGAGGGGGGAATGTTAACAATCTCATTAGCCCTCTGATTATGCTTGCCCCCTGATTATTTTGATGCTTGCACAAATTACTACCGTTGCTAAAATTACTACCAAGCAGGTCATGGTCAATTATGAAACTTTGGATTCTCCTGAGATAGATAAATTGGCTCTTAAAGCTTGTGATGACACTTCTCCATTTATAAAACAAAACAAGGGAGATGTTGGGGAACCCTGCTGTTAAGGTTGGCTCTTTTCTCATCAGGGGATTCCTGCCTGACTTACCTGGAAAGTGCTGCCAAGTACGGATGCTTGGCTTCATTTGAAACATGACCTTTGGCATAGTTACCTGCAATAAAACTACCCCCAGGTTTTTTTCTATATGATAATTAGGCATTGCCCGATAGTCGGATGATAGGAGCCTACGGCCACATGTAAATAAAGCATATTATGAGCACCTATCAGCGGAAGCATTGGCTACTGCCTCCACACTATATTTTCCCTAACCCCCACTGAATAAACGGAGCCGTTTCACTGAGTCTGCAGCTGTTTGTATCACTGAACCTGTCTCCCCGGAAGGGCTTTCTTCTGTCAGTGCTCACTGGCCATCCCTGACCCCATTCATCGCTTCTGCTCCCTTTGTCCTTGTGGACTGGTGACCAACGACCCACGAGGGGAGGGAGAGACCCCACACCATTTGTGGACCCTTGCACTGTGGTGGTAGGTTGCCCATCATGGGAAGGTACCATGAAGGGAAACTCGCCATAAAAGTAAAAGGCAAGGGTGACTACCAAGAGGGCACAAATGAAGCAAACAAGGACCGTGAGCCACTCAGATGTAAACCGCCAAAACATGAAGAGGTGTATTGGATCCAAATGTCTTGTGCTTAGTGAGGGACTTCTGAGGGCTGTGATACCCTCAGCTGTATGCTCACACAGTGTCAGGCAACAGGATGACCCAAAGCCTGGGCTCTGAGTTTGGGGTGGATCAGCCCTCATGTGAACTCACCTTGATGAGCCAAGGAATAAAAGGTGTCGACGTGGGCTTTGGGGCCACATGGTGGAGTGTGCCTTCCTGATTTAACAACAAATATGACAAACAGGGTAGAGGGGACAGAGAAGGGGGCCACTCGCTCACCCTTGAGCAGCCAAAGGGACAGACAAAACCCGGGGCCTACTCACCAAACGAACCGAAGTTGGAGGTGTCACCAATGCTGGGGGGCCAAGAACGCTGTTCAGGTGCCAGCTGTTGCAGGTTTCCTTGTTGGTCCAGCCTATGAGGGTTCTGGCCGAGGTGGGGGTGAGCAGCAGAGTCAACACACAGACACCTGGAGTCGGGTGGAAACAGGCACTAAGCAAGGTGCTGCAGAATCGTTTATTGCTGGGAAGGGCAGGCCTTATATATCTCTCCCCTTCCCCCAGTGTCCCATAAGCTGGTGTGTCACTCCCTGATAGATCCCTTCATCTAGGCTGCTCGCATCATCAGTCTCTAGGTCTGGGGCAGATTATAGGTTGGCTCTTTTGTGGAAGCGCGGGCTGTGCTTTCAAGGTGGAAGCTGTGCTTCCTAGTGCGGCCTGTGCTTAGGTCTGGCACTTCACCTCCTACACACATACACACACCTGCATCCACACATGCACCCACATGAATATACACATACATATATGTGTGCACAAGAAGAGAAAGAACAGCAAAAACAGCAATAGCAAGAAGAGAAGAACTGCCTCAAAGATCAACAAACTCACACATGTCCTTATCCAAATATTTACCAGTGCAGAAACCACTTCATATCACAAGTTCTCAACTTTGGTTGACATTGGAATCCTCTGAGGAACTTTACAAATACTGGTTCCTGGGGCCTTTCTGTAAATTCCCATTTCATTGGCTTAGGAATCATCCTACATGCAAAAATGTACTATTCAAGTAAATGTTCAAGTCTAGCATTCAGTGTTTCTCAACATTGAAAATGCATATGAGTTGCATGACTTTCTTGTTAAAATGCAAATTCTAATACAGTGTCTCAGGGTGAAACCTGAGACATTTCAGTTCTAACAAGCTTCCAAGTGTTACTGATACTTGTTGATTTCTGAACCACACTTGAGTAGCAAGATAAAAACTAATCCCTGACACCTGAGAAGCAGCTCTCACTGTATTTGCTAAGTTCATTTTTCCAGCTGCATGTGGCTGGCTTCTAATAACAAAAGCCAGTGAAGACTCATCTGCTCATTCTCCACTGGAGTTTTACAAACTAATTTCACAGAGCAAGCAAGTTGCAATGTTTAGACTTATCCCGTCTGTAATTACTGTTATCTATGCTTTTCTCCACTTCATTCTAGGAACTATCACAAATTCCTCAAACTATTAGACTGAGCAGATGCTCAGCAATAATCCTCTCATGGCCTCTACAAAACAGAAAGACCACCAAAACCAAACAAGTAAACTGCTAAGATGTATTGTGCAAAGGTGTATGTGAAAGCAAAAAGAAATGCAAAACATTGTCCTGCCAATTTTCTTGCCTGTTGACAAATAGCCCATCATGAAAAAAAAAACAAGACCGACAATTCAGGGCAGTGATGCTCAGGACCAAATGAGTGGCAATGAGGGGATGCCTTGTAGAAGAGGGCAGAAAGATGTACTTGTTTGTATTTGGGGTAATTAGAGATGGAGTAATCAAAATTACCGGGGGGGGGGGTCTCACAGAGAAATTGATACAACCCAGAGTAAATAGGAAATGGGCAGGTAGGAGAATCCCAAAGCCATTCACGAGAGGATTAAATTGTCACTGTCACAAGACAAGGGAGGTAGAGCCATGGAGGGATGGAGGATAGTAAGAAAATTTTTACCAAGACAGGAAAGCAAACTAGAATGTCCTAACTCTAATCCTGTGAAGCCTAGATATCAGACTTTCATATAACAATAGCATTACTTAGAAGTCTTTATGCAGACCCTGTCGTCCAGGCACTATTTTATGTACTTTACATGTGAAAACTTTATTCTCAAAAACCACATAATATAAGCACTAGTGGTATTATCAGTAGATCTTAACTTATATAAACTCCTGGGTTTGTATAGTTTGTTTACCATAACAAATTAATAAAGGCTAGAGAGATTAGGGCTAGAGAGATGGCTCAGTGGTTAAGAGCACTGGCTGCTCTTGCAGAAGACCCAGGTTCGAATCTCAGCACCCACATGGTGGCTAACAATCATCTGTTAATTCCAGTTCCAGGGGATATGATACCTTTTGTTTTCCATGGGCACTGCATGTAAGCATAACACTCGTATATATAAAATAAAAATAAGTTAATTAAAATCAAATTAATAAAACTTGATTCTTTCCAAGAGAAATGGTAGCAGAGAGACAGTAAATACTGTGCATAAATCATATAGCCAATGAGCAGCAGAAGAGCATTCCACTGCTAAGAGTGTTGCTTGGTGCTCATGGCTTGTCCATCATCCTGCAAGCTCTACAATTTAAGGGCAGATCCTATGGCTTTCACACTCTTTACCCTGATAAATCAAATTAATGCTTCCATGCCTGCCTTGGTTTATTTTGTGATGCTACCACAGAATATCTGAGACCAAGTAATTTTCATGAGCAGAAATTTATTAATTTGCAGCCCTGGAGGATAAGAAGTATAAAACCAAATGCATCTGGCAAGGACCTCTGTGCTGCCATTAAATCATGGTGGAAAGGACAAGATAGCAAGAGATTGAATTTATGACCTAAGATCCTCTTTCATTGTGGTCTAGGCATATGAATTTCTTTTGTTGGTTGCATATCTAATATGACGCTCAGACCTGACTTTGCTGAGTCAAAGTTTGATTCTGTTTATATTGTTGCTATAGCTTTGTTGCTTTTTGATCAGATGAATAGTGAGTTGGTTTGTGCTCCAGGTTCTCTCTTTTAATTTATTAGTGGGACTGGATGGATTCAAGCAAGCTAGTCAAGAGTTCTCCAGGAGGATGAAGGAACCTAGGCCCAAGTGTGGGTGATGGGAATCAGCTGGGCTGCTTCTAACTATCTAAGCACAGAAGGCTTGGAGCCCAGTGACTTCTTGCTAGCTAGCAGAAGTGTCTTGAGATCCTTTTATAATCTCTATTAATCCATCCAAGAAGTTTCCAACACATTTTGTGGAGAACATATTTAAACCTGAACCGTAGTTATGAAAACTTGTTCTAGAGAAATGATAAGAACAACAACAACAAAAATATATATATAGTGCCCCTTATTCAGAAAGGTTCACCCAAGTCCAAGTCACTAGATATTGGTAGGTATTTGGTAGACAGGTAATGTGCCTTTCTATTTTCCTTTCAATATGTATTCACTGTGTGCCAGGTAACATTCTAAGACTTCACACAATCTCTGTCCCTGTAGGTTTCAGTGTCTAGGCTAGGACTTAGAAGAAGCAAGCAGACTTGGTAAACCCTGCAGTGCTATAACAAGTCAGTATAAGGACAGCAAGATTTTTTTCATTTTTTTAAGTTTTTTAAAAATACATTTCTTATTTATTTTTATTTTATGTGTATGAATGTTTTAACTGCATGTGCATTGCATGTGAAGTACCCATGGACACCAGAAGAGGGCGCTGGATTCCCTGGCACTGGAATTATGGATAGTCGTTAGCTGCCATGTAGGTGCTGGGAACTGAACCCTAGGTCCCTGCAACTGCAGCCAGTGCTCTTAAGCACTAAACCATCTCTCCAGCTCCAAAAGCAAAAAATCTCATTGCAGGATCTACTGTGGTATTTCAGAAGAAGGCACCCTAGATAGCATATCTACTAATGCTTTCGTGAGGCTGTAGTACAGGAGAGACAGCTGCCTTCTTTCTTGTCCTTTTCCCTCTGCTCCTGCTGCTCTGGGCACACAATGCTGTTTGGAGCCCTTTAGTTGCTCGATTCCTTTGTGTCTCTGTTGGCCCTGGATGTGCTTCATTGCCTGCTTGGATCTGATCTACTCCTTTTCTCCAGCCTGTGTAAGTTTCCTTTTCTCAATAACATCTCTAATAGTCACCATCACTCTGCCCCTGTCACTCTTTACGTGTGCTGTATCTCGTCTTACATCTGTAAGGTGTCAGGAATACTGTTTTCCTCTTTGGTTGTCTCATGTCTGTCTTTATCAGACTTGTCTCCCTCAATAGTGTGTCCTAAAATGATTTTGTACTCTCTGGCTAAGGTTTCACTGTCCCAGAGCTTTTCTTGAATGATAGTAGTTTTTAGTGGCTCGTCTATTCTCCAGTTTCCAAATGGACATCTAGATTGGTGGTCCAAGACTGAAGATGACAGAGCAGACACAATAATGGCAGTAAAGAATCTGTGTCTGAGCTAAACCCAGAAGGCTACAAAAATATATGTGACACATGAAAGGCATTAAATTAATTCTGGTTGTTAGACATACACAAGTAAATGAGAAAGTTATGGCTCTCAAGAAATTCATAGCCCAATGAAAACTACAGCAAGTTACTACACAATTAAAATTCAATGTGATAAGCTTTAACATACAGGCTTGTTTAAAATGTAGGGACTGACAGGGACGTATCCAGGGTATATTAGATAGCAAAGGTGAGAAGGGAAGCTGGTCAGCAAAGGGAAAGCAGTGCTTGAAGCACATGCCTTACTCAGCTAAGAAGGAATTAAGGATAACTGGTAGGAGTTGGGAGGCAGAATATGCAAAGGAACCAAGTCATGCAAAAAATATGGCATGGTCTTTCTGAAACTTATTTTCCAAAGCACTTAATATAGCTAGTTCCCTGAAAGGAGAGGCTCTAGGGTCCACACTCGTCCTCAATGGAAGTCATCTTTCTCCAGCTACTTGGAGAGATGCGTAGTTAGCTACTAACCCCTCCAAGGACCTTCCCAGTTGCAAAACCCTCTGCAGAAAGACCCAAATTCAGGAACTGACCAACATAGGAATATAAAGACCTGGGATCTTGGTCCAAATCAGGAAACTTCAGAAAGTTTGAGTTTTCAGGAGTCCCTGTGGTCCTGGCTGAGCCTATGTTTCAACTCAACTTTTTTATTTGTTTCCTAGCCTCTCCCTTTCACAGGTGTCTATCTATAAAGGCTGCTTTAAAAACCATGCAGCATACTTTAATCCTCAGAGTCTGCTTCCTGGGAAGCCCTGATTCAGGACTATATAGATACAGGAGTTTTCTAAGTAGGTGGTAAAAGCATGTGGTGGAAGGCAGAGCGCAGGTAGCACTGGCACAAAGTAGAAGTCTGATTGTTTACATTCTTGGTGGTGGATGGGATTACGTAAGTGTTGATGAATGAACTGGCTAGTACTATGTGTAGGTGTTTCAAAGATAAAGTAGCAGTGGAAACTGCAAGACGATAAAAGGCCAGGCTGCTCCCAAGTTCCTTTTTCCAGAGAAAAGACGGCAAAAGCTGATGGAAATTTGCAGCTCATTGAAAGCAACTGTGAAAGTAGAGACCTTTCTGGATAACACAGAGAAAGGATCCCATTTTGTGCGGTTGCAGGGCATAGAAATCTGAGGACCAAGACTAAGATCTAACAAAGTAGCCAAACTCTGAAGAAGATTAAATTTCTGATTAAGAGAATTTCTATGCCAAAATTAGGGCCCTGGCTAGGAAACAACAGGTCCCTGACACATTCAACAGGTATCTAGGTGGAGGCTCACAAAAATCTGGAATGCTGAGAGTCTCTAAAATCCTGTGAGACTGCAGAAATACCCTACCCCCACCAAGAGCTCACACCCCTTACTCTCACAGGAAGATAATGCCAAGCCTTCCCCTGTAAGACAATGTATGTCTCTATCAGGATGTGCCCCAACTTCCTTTTCTGCTGCTTGGCAGATAACTAAAGTTGAGTTGCAGCATAATCAAGCCAAGGACATACTAGGCCTAATAAGGGAAGGAAAATACTTTACCCCAAGGAAGCTGCAAACCCTGGCCAGAATGTACTAGCAGATGTGAGAAAATATACATGAGACTGCACACTGAGGATATCTGATCAAGAGAACTTAACTTGTGGTTTGATGAGAAAATACATAACTTTGGAAGCACTCAGCATACAGGATTTAGAATATTGGCAAAGACTTCAGGAGAAAATACAAACTCACTTCTCTGTATCTGACCACCTATGTTGTTTAGAAAGAGAAGTGATCCAACGTCAAATAATATACATGGATTTAACAGTAGCAACAAGTTGCATTAGCACTTTGGTTGAGCCTGCAGAGAGAAAAATAGGAAGAATAGGGATGAGGAGAGGTGGGGCAGAGGCGTGTAGATAAGCACAGGAGTGGAGTCAAATCATAAAAGCATTAATAGTCAGGATGTACCCACCACATAGCATTCAACGTAGAACAGTCAGGTAGCCAGACTGCTCAGCCAGGTAGTATCAGTCCGCTGTCATCATCGTCTATCTTAAAACTTACCTGAAAATTGCAGACATGTGAACACGGTACTGAAGTTGGTAAGAATGAAGAAGTATGAATGTGTCCAAGAGATGGGCTCTTACTTAAAAAGGATTATTTATTGATACTGCTGAATATCCAATCTTCCAGCAATAGTATCTATTATGGCACTATCCCCTGAAGAGGCCAACCTGCCATTTGATTTGCCTTTCTTGTGAGCAAGGACTTAGCTTGCAGACTAACCAGCAGTTCATGGGGTATTTTAGCCACTGGCTTGAGATCTTACATAATAATACAACAGAAGAACTCACTAGCAAGCAAAATAGATATGGAAGTGTTATTATACTAATAGGATCCCATGGGTAGGTAATATACTACATTATTACACAGAAATTAGTACCCTAATATCACATTGAAATTGCCTTCTAAAAACACAACTGGAAACCCGGCTTATGGCCTATGCCTCAAACCAGGATGGAGTACCACCTACCAGGACCAGTATACCTTAGATTCAAAGACATTCGTATGGTACTATGCCTTCCTGCTTCCAAAAACATTTGATTCTAGGAATTAAAGGGCAGAAGCAAACATGGTCCCACCTCCTATCTCTTCTGCAACCTGTTGGAATAATTTGTGCAACTGTGGATCTCATGTGTTTATCCATCCTGGCTCTCAAAAGGAGAACACTTCTGCCAACATACACAATAACAATACCACTTCATTATATGCTCTGACAGCAGCCTGATATGTAGGCTTTCTGTGGCAAAGAACCAAATGGCAAGAGGAAGAATCATTGTTTTGGCAAGGTAATTAACCAATCAGTGGGTATCAAAGGGCCACTATAATACAATAGGGTAAAGAGGAGTAAGCCTGGCACCAGCCAACCCACTTCTGGGTATTTGTCCCATGGAAGACCAGGTAATACATACTCTGTACTCTCAACTCCTCAGAGTTTCTTGGTACAATCCAATCTTCAACTAGCAAGAGTGTTTACAGAGAGAAATGACAAAGCTTAAGTGACTTATGTACTAGAGAATAATTGTGCTTTTCATTTCCAAAAGCAATATGGTGATCTGAGGTAAAGGGACCAAGAATCAAGTCGTTTCATGAAAGGGGAGCTGTTCAAGCTTTGTATCCCTCTTCATGGGAGATTCTGCCTAAGAGCAGGGGATGTAGGATGTCACTTAATATCAGGAAAGAGAAGTTGGCTCTGAGAGTATTGTGCAAACTGATTGGCTGTCCTCATGAAGAGGAATGCCCTACTGCATTCTCTGGTTTTCTGATCAACTCAGATTTGACCAGAGACTCTGACTTGGAATGGAGAAGGGGGGGGCGGGGTATCTCCGGGTAAGTTCACAATCAGGTTTGCTATTTAGTGCAACAGAGATAAAGCTATGTCCCTTCCTTGATGTTGATAGCTCCCAGAAACACCCTCGATCCCAAGAGGCTCCAAAAGAGGCTGGCAAATCACCAGATTACAAATAACCCAGCATAGGAAAGAATATGGCCAACAGTTCCTTAATAGAGATTGCAACTAGCCAAATTTTTCAGCCCAAATTACCATAATCTTGGCAGGCAGGTGGAATTCTGAAGACAGAAGAAAACCTCCAAGTGTTTATATAATTTTTTTTATAGGGCAAGAGTTTACTGATTCTAGGAAGGGTGGGCCCAGCAAGGCTGAGTTACCACACTCCAGTGATTACTTCTAGCCTTAACACATTGGAAATTCACCTTTAAACCTTCTTTTCTGAGTTTCACAGCACAATGGGCAATTCATTCATTTCCTCCCACAGGACCTGGGTTATGTGGCCATCTCCTGAGGAAGGCAATCATCACCTCGGGGTGGTCTGCTTGAGCATCCTTCCAGCACTGATTTAGAGGAAGCTGGACACATGTGACTATCTCAGAAGGATAAACACAAACCTGGGAAGCAAGATTGGGGAGAATTTTTGTGATACAATTCTCAGTTTAAGACACACATACAACTCTACCCCCCCTCAAAAAAATGTTTCACTGAATTCTTTTAGTCCCAGTGAATATTTGCATTCCAAATTCTAGGCAAACAAAATTTCTATTAACTTGTTAGGATTTTCTTTTAAACTCATTTCTTTAAGGGCTGAAATTTCATTTATTTTGTATGTTATTTTATACACAGACATTCATAATTAGGTGGCTTCTAGCAAAAGAATATTCTAGGCTCACCAGTTAGGATCTTCAGAAGCTATAATAGTGCTGAAAATGGAGGTTGAAATGATAGGCCAAGGTCTGAGAAAAACAGCCCAGGGTATTGTCTCTGGAGGCAATGAACCCATTTCTGCATATCCAGACTTCTGTGCTACCCTAGTGAAGCATTCCACATCAATAGGTCAGACTGAACTTCCCATGGTGCTGAGTCAGGACACTTGTTTTTAATTCTGTCCTAGCACTTACTAGGGGCTTCCTATAAAGCCTAGTAACTGTCTTTCCACCTCCTCAAGAACAAGCGTGATGTCTTCTATGTCATATATTTTGGACTTATCAGAGTGTTTTGCATATGCTAAATGCTTTATTGAGTATGAATGAAATGAATCAAAGCAATACAGTAGCGTTAGAAGAATCGTTCTTCCAAAAGAAAGAGAGAGCTGTTGAAGACAAAGAACCTTCTAGATAAGGCTTGAGCCACTTTTCAGAATTCTGTTTGCTCGATGGAAGCAATTGGCCTTTACTTCAATACATCACTTCAAAATTTAGTGGTTTTCACATGCATTTTTAATAAGGATAACATAAAAGATGAAGGTGGTAATATATGCGAGCTATTCTAAGACGCTCTTATAAAAATCTGTTGTCTTTTCTGTCATTGTGTCCCAGAAGCTTGGTTCCTCTAAGGGGCGCCGTGATAGGGGTGGCAGGCATGGAGAGAAAGATGGCCCCGGTGTCTCACCTGCGAGGACGTGAGAGGGGGTATTTACCGACCTGGGGCGAGACTGCAGGCCCAAGATGTGTGGGCAAAAGTTAACAGATTCTATGGGCAGGTGCAGAAGCAATCAGGAGTGGCTGGCCGAGCCGTCGTGCTGGGTGTCGGGTGTTCAGTTCTTTGTAAGCTCCTCCATTTACCCCCTCCGTATCCAAGATATAAAATGAAAAATTCAGATAAAAATGTTACGTGGTTTTTCCAATAGCGCCCTGAGCAGGAGACCCTGAAAAAATTGAGGGTGGGTCAAACAGAGAGCGGGAAGGTGAAAATTTAGTGGGACAGTTATTAATCCTAATAACCAATCAGTGCCTCCTAAAGTACATTCCCATACATAGAAGAAAACACAAAGGTGAAGGTATAGGGACTGGTAGCCATAAATCAAATGAGATTGAACTTCACAATGAGTTAGGGAAATGCAAAGTAGCAGATAAGCCAGGAGATTAGCCGAAAAGAAATCTTGCACGGCTGTGTAGGAGGGATGTACACTAATAAGGAAAGAACATCCCAGAGAAGAGCAGGAAATCACTACTCAGTGCCAAAGAAGCAGTCAGGTTCTGAAATGTCACAATTACGGACATGAAAAACACCCAAGGTGAGCCAAGATCAATTCCAAGGAAACTGAGCTGCAGGTGAAAGCATCCATGTTGGGACAAAAAGAAAGCTCTGGAGGAGGCTCACTAAGCTCGGGTAAACATGAGGTCAAGGGAACGAGGTCTATCCTCCGAAGACAAAAGCTGTGCTATTTGGCAGTCCACTGGCTGAGCTCACCTCAGCAGGGGCGCAACACAGAAACCTCCCTTAGCACTCACCAACTGCACCTAGCCTTTGTGAATAACGCCAATTTCAGTAAAGGACAAGGAAATGCCACATAGTGGTCTTTGAAAACAACATAAAGATATAGAAAAACTATTGGATTTTTTATAAAAATATGAGCAGAACCAATTGAAATCAGTGGGTTACCGAGAAAAAATAAAGCTGGGAGGGATATGTGCTACAGGGGAGTTGAGAGGTGGGGTGAGGGATGCATATGTACACTGTATACACGCATGAAATTTTCAAAGAATAAGTAAAAAATATTTAAGATTAAAATTTGTTGTCAAATTATAGACGTGGAAAACATGTGCTTAAGATAAATTGGGATCCAATCAAATAAAGAAGCAGAAAGCCCACGCAATGAAGAATCACTCCCTTGTATTTTCACCTAGCAGGGTGCATCTGCCCTCCACTACTCCCTCTGCAGTCATGCTTCCTCTGGCTAATAGGCTGTCACAACTGCAAATGAGATTCAGAAAACAGGGACCTTCTGATCTCACAGCCCAGCCTACTGCTGTTCTCTGGGGATCAGAGATTGTGAAACCTGGAAGGCTGCCTCTAAGGACAGGAAATACACAGTGTTAAACTCTCAAGGGCTCAAACAAAATTATTCACTTTTTAACTGCTAAGATCTATAAAGAAGTAATAATTTTCCATTGCCTAAAAGTTCACTGTAATAAATTGGTGATTACAAAGAGGAGCAAAATTAATGACTTTCAACTCCAGGCCTGTATTGTCCCTTGGCAACCTCTGGGCCTTGGCCTAACAGGAATATCTTTCATGGAAATAAAACTAATGGCACAAAATATTTGGTCAACATTGAATTATATCAGGTAATTGATAGGTTAGTGTTAGAGATCTAAGAGCACTACAGTGCATTTTTTTTCTCAAAGTGGTAATATCATTGTGCTTTAATATTTCGGTCAGATTTTTGTTCCTCATCTATCTGGAATAAAAACTTGTAACAGGTAAATGACTCATAAACATACAGTGGCATTTTTTTGTATTTTTTGGTTTGATATGCCTTGGTCAGGAATTTGTAAATCAAATTACTTTACTTTAATTAAGCAATTAATCAGAAAAAGCAATTAATCAGAAAAAAATGGGGTGAAGAGAATGGTGAAGCTTACATACATATTAATACTTCATGTTTAGCACAGTGGAGAAACGTGATTTTGCTTCCTCCTCCCAGATCTAGGGAGCAAATGGTTTTAGTTAAGTATCTGAAGCATGTTAAACAGCACACACATCAAAGGAACAGTTAGGCAGTGTTTCAGCGCTCCTTCCCACTGACTCAGCAAGCTATTTGCCACCACCTTTCTCTCTACTCAGCTGAAAGCAAAAGGAACTTTAAGAGCAATGAATCCAAAAACTTGATGACAACAATTTCACTGTCTGGAACTATGACACATAAAAATATTTCAAATGTCAATAACTCTGTGATCCAATTTCAATAGATAAAAATTTGAGCAGTTCCAAATACTATTCCTTTTTAAAATTCCCCATATACTACATAAGGGAGAAAAACTTATTTAAATATTTTTCATGACATTTATTTATTTATTATGTGTTGAGAATGGGAGGGCACATGCCACAGGGCACTTGTAGAGATCAGAGGACAACAGATTCAGTTCTCTTCCTCTACCATTGGGGCCCTGGGTTTGGTAGCAAGTGGCTTAACACACTGAGCCATGTCTCTGGTCATGAACCTCATTGTTTCTATGGAGCTTTAAAATTTATTTTAGGGGCTGTAAACATGGCTCATCCGTTGAGAGCACTGGCTACTCTTGCAGAATACCTGGTTCAGTTCCCAGCACCCACATGGTACCTAACAACTGCCCTGCTTGACTCCAGTTCCAAGAGGTCTGATGCCCTCTTCTGGCCACTGTGGGCATTGCATGACACAGGTATGTTTTACATGCACGCATGTAGGTACATGCATGAGTGCATACATGTAAAATGAAAATGAATCAAAAGAAACTTTTGGGGGTCTTTTTGAGACAAAGTCTCCCTGTAGCCCCAGCTGGCCTAGAACTTACTATGTAGACCAGTCTGAACTTGATCTCATAGAGATCCACCTGCCTATGCCTCCCGAATGCTGGGAACAAAAGAATTTTTTAAATAACACTTATTTTAGTGCCTTGACTAACTGAGATTAGAACAGTCTCTCTTAAAAGTTATATTCTTTGATTCTTTTTTAAAGAAGCCTCCTTGCTCAAAATCCTTGGATTTATCAACTTCAGGAACTGATGAAAAGTAAAATCAATGAATGTGTGAAATTGTATCTGCCAATTTGGAAAGAATAAAAATAACAGAAAAATTACCTGTAAACAAAAATTAAACAATGCAGTAAAATTGGAGTTCAGTTTAATATTTATTTTGTTTATCTATAAGCCTTGAGTTCACACATGTAGATAGGTGCTAGGAAGAACCAGGCAGTTGCCCCTAAACAATATGTCCAGATTTCTTTGTAATTGTCAATGTCATTTCTAAATTGTGCAGTTCCTGATTAAAGGTGCATATTAAATAATCCTATCCTAAAAAAAAAGAAAAACAAAATCTTTTCACGTAAGGGAGTAAAACTGATTCTGATTTGGATATTATACTTGAACAATTAACCATTGACACATAAAGTAAGTTTAGTTGTAGCTGATGGATAAATTTGATAGAGAGAAATTAAATAAACTACTATAATCAGGAATCGATTGCAGTATTGGTTCAATTTTGACCTTACTCTCTCGAGCAAAGAGATAAAAAGTAAACTCCTTGAGAGAAAGAAATTGAATCTTCAGAGCCATTGTTATTGGCTGAAGTAAATACAACAAAGGAAGAAACATACTTGACATACAAAACTGTTCTCAGATTCTAATACAGAGTTAATGCCTGACATCAAGATAACAGATTCAGAAGTTGTAATGTTTCATAACAGTTTATAGGTATAGAGAAAGTAGATAGGTAAACATATATTCAGACAGATGATAGATATTAATATGTCCATACATAAAGGTATGGATGATTTCTGCTAATCCTAAAGGACAAGATGAACTAAGACAGTTACATAAGTAACAATGAATTCAATGTATAATAATATGAATGATCCATTTATTCATTTGATAAATAATGCACTATCATTTGTTAGAATTTTTCAATCCTAGTAAGAGGTTAGAGATTGCTAAAACATACTATGTGTAGCTCACAAAACTGAAGTCAGCATGACATCATTGTAAGTTAGTATCCTGAGACTAATTTAAAGCAGTTTAAACTGTGTTTGAAGTGAGATATATGGAAGTGAGATTGGTCTGCTCCATGGGCCAGAAATTCCTAAATGAACATTGTAAAGCACATCGTTAGAAGGATAACTAATGGATTGTGACTCTATTCTCCACTCAAAAGGGCTATGAAAATAACTATAACCCTCACATTGAGCAAAATTGTCCTCCTGGCAGAAAGCCAAAGAATTGATCCATTTGGATCTTTAAGAAACTTCTCACAACAGAAGTTGCCAATGGAATTGTATAGAAAAGCTCTGCTGTCAAACAGGGGAAAAAATGGACCATATAATGTTTGACATCTTTTTAGTTAAAAAATACAACTAGAGAGCAGCAGCTTGTTGCTAGGGAAGAATTCTACAATAAGTTTGAATCAGGTGAGCTGCTCAGTCTTTACCATCTCTCATTTTTATGATTCAACTCTATTGCAGTCAGGGACTAAAGTTATTGTGAAATCATGGCCATCCATAGTAACACAAATAATAACACTCTGAGCTACTTCCTCAGATGAAAGGCTTTGTATTTCATAAAGCACTTTGCAAACATGATCTTTTTTAATTCTTACAACATTTGAGGTGTATAGATATCATCTTGTTTTGTCAGTAGTAAAACTGAGGTTGGTGGAGTTTGATTTGACCATGAAAATATTCAATGCAATTAAATCTATTGACACTCAGATGCAATCTTGTAAAAATATTAGCCCCAATGAAATATTGGGTGTTAAGAATCTGTCCCTACTCTGCAGCAATGAAAATAGGAAAAAAAGAATAAAATTACAATATTAAATAAATAAATTAAGCAAGGTGATGGGATTTTGTAACAAAGTCTGAAATATATTAAAAGAGAATAAATTAAGACCCTCTCCCCAAGGGTGGCTTTGCATAGACTGAGAAAAAGGGAATAGGAAAGAGTCAAACTTCTGAATTAAAGTAACTGTATTTTGAAGAAGATTTTAAAATAGAAGAAAAGTCTATCTGCTATTTCATTGGAATTATAACCAGATGAAAGCCTGTCGTCTTAAAATACTCAGGTTCATCCTCATTTCTGCTGCTGTTTCTAAGGATCAAACACAGGGTCTTGTGCATACTAAGCACATACTTACCTACTCAACTATCCCTTCAGCCCTGGGTCTAAATTTTCTTTAGTACTTTCTTATTTTTAATTGTTTATGTGTGTGAGTGTATTGCCTACATGAACATAAGTGCACCCATGTGGTACATTGCCAGTGGAGGTCAGAAGCGACTGCTGAATGCCCTGTAATTGGAGTTACAGATGGTTGTTAGCTGCCATGTGGGGGCTGAGAACCAAACCCCCTAGTTTCTCTGCAAGAATAGCCAGTGCTCTTAACCACTGAATCATCTTTGCAGTCCCCCAGGCGTAAAGTTTTAAACAACATTTAGTATAAACAGCAGTTCTGTTGCTCAGTTTTAGATCAAGTACCTATACGTCTGGCTTCAGAAACAAAAACAAAGAAACAAAAAAGCAACTATTATCTATAAATAAATGAGCAAATGACTAGTTGACTGACTAAATAGATTTTAAAAAATTTCAAAATGAAAGAAACGTATTTAGCTCAAGTACTTCTTTGTAAGCATGACTAAAACTTCCTTGTATAAGTAATATCTAAATCAGATCTAAGTCTTTGTCCAAAAGGACAGGAAAGCACTAATGCAAAAACCATCAACAAAGAAGGTGATTTTCATTATGGAATGCCAAGAGCCTCCAGATGGCCTTGGGTAACCTCATTTCCTACTTTTCTGCAGTTTGTGTCACTCCAGGCATGTACTTCCCTACCCTCTAGCTCCACCTGAACACATGGAAGCACATATTTCAGTCATTGTGAGCATGATCCAGCTGCCCTTTGGACATTCGGCTCTAGGGACCATGCTTCTAGGAGCCACAGAGGTCCTGAGCACTCTTCAATTCAACTGCCGAGTCAGAAGCAAAGACAAACACAGGAGTCTCACAGCACCCATGTATTAAATCTGAAAAAAGGCAAACCTGTTAAGCTTCTCATTTCCTTTAACTCTCACCCATGGAGACTGTTGGCTGAAGTTAGATATTCTGGAGTATACCCATTACTTGATGAATATGGTTAAAATTGGAAAAGGGTGACCAAGTACCAGAAAGGTCCTTGCAATGTCTGAGGAATGAGGTTTTCTTAAGATCTATTTTTACCACATACTGGTGTTATATTTTTCTGTCTTATCTTTAATTTTTAAAACCGGCAAACACACAAAAATAAGCATCACCCTGTGTGCACAATGCAATAAACACAGTCCTATGACAGATCTGTGCATTGGATAACAGAAAGGAAAATGCTTTACAGGAGTAAGAGGCATGTAATCTCAACAGGATGTGTGTTTTGGCTTCCTCTTGAAGCGAAGACAGGTGTAGAGCATTTCAGTGTGAACTGCACCAGGTTGGCCAACTTACTAATTTTTTTCAGATTCAGGTTTAAAATCTTGAACCAGATAATTTATGATTTGCATAACTATGTATTTTATAATTATAGGAGTACTTGTTTACATATTTACCATGATTGTGCATCCTGTACATGTATGTATCATATATACTGAGATTCATAAGCAATATGCCTGTTAATGAGTCAATGCTCTGATTCACCACTCAGATTGCACAAAAATAAAAGTGAAGGGTTTCTTCCCCCAGTTGTAGAGAGAGCTGTGGGAAATGGTCCTCATTGCCTTTCCTGCTTAGGAATTCTCTCACCTGAATAAAGATATCTAACCTGTAGTGTCTCTTCCCGTGTTACTGACCTTCTGTGTCAACAAAGGGAGCCTTTTCTACCTAACTCAGAACAACTCAGAGGGCCAGCAACTCCTGAGCTCCAGCGAGTGTGGCTAGATTCTTGATATCACAGCTTGGCTCAACTTTTGCTCTGACAAATTCAATTTATTGTCATCTTTTCTAGATGGATGATTCTCCAGGATATTCCCTAACAAATACCTACAAGTCTATTTCCATTCTGGAATCTACTTCCTGAGGCCTTTTCCTAATATATAACCTTTATAAGTAGTGTTCCCTAGTGAAGACTCAAAATAAGATAATAAGTGTGTTAGGCCAAAGTCTGGAAAGATCAAAGATGTCTTAGTTATACTTGAAGTTTGAGAGACATAGGGTCAATGGTATTTAGAATTCAATAGGAAATAACCATTCAAAATAGATTCTATACTTTTCAGAAACTTAGATATTAGGATTTTAGGATGATTCTATTTAGAATTATATCAACTCTTCCCAAGTATTTATTTTTATGTGTGCATATTGTGACTGGGACTGTTATCCTAGCTTCTTTTACAAAATGTTTGTATGGCCGGTACTCTTGGTTTCCTACTAAAACTGAATGGTAAGACACTATTGCTAAAGACACAATACAGCTTAGTTGCAGAATACAAAGAAATCATGCTGGAACTGAGCTGGGAGCTTCAGCTAGCTTTCATAGTCTGGAAGATGTTATGTAAGCAGTTGAGGAAGAAAAGTGAGCTGTGATTTTCCAAGCTTTGGACTTTATATGCAATGTATACAATGTTTACAATGCCAAATTGATGAGCAAAAGGTGCTTTAGTGGCATGGTTGTTATGGGGATAGGATCTGAGGCTCACTCTGTAGGGTACAGTTCATTCCAGGTGCTGTGAACCTAGTTAAAGGCCGAGGGAGGTCAAAAGCACTAGGAATTAACATAAAACTTTTTTTGCTTAATGGACATGTTGTCAAACTGCCTACGACATATTTATGATTATACTCATAGACTAGTACTGTTCTTACCCAATATCCAGGAAGCTTCTTTCTGCAGCAAAGTTGATTCAGAGACTCATAGCTGGCCAAGGTGCTGAGAACAAGTGACTGTTGAGGGCTCAGCCTTTAACAGGACACTCATATCACTTCTTGCAAAAACTCCAGAAACATTACAGAAGAGGGGGCCAAAAGAATGAAAGAGGTGGATGGTAGGGAGGAGAACCATGAAACACTGTCTTAGCACAAGGCATGGCACTTGTGAACTCATAGGAACCGTAGTTGTCTTCATAGGTGCTGTCTATACAAGACTGACTCCACATGGTCATGAATAAGGAGGAGCTCATGACGCCCAACTCATGGGTGCTAACAGCTGTCAAGGCTGCCAGGGGAAGGGAAGTCATCATCTTCAGTGATGTAGCCATGGATGAGTTACTAAGTTCCAATGGTTAGCTTCATACCAGGTCCACAAGAGCGGCCCAGGTTAAACCCAGTGGGTCACAAAGGAAAAACAAAACCAAAGCAAAAAGACATGCACGTGGGATGGGCACTTGGTATGAGGGATGTTGGTAGTAACAGAAAGGAGAATGAAAGACAGATAAATGTGACCCAAATGTATTATATACATGTATGAAATTGTCAAATAATAAATTAATTAATAAAAGAAATACATAAACTTTTATTTGAAGCTGAATTCAATGCTGAGAAATTCTTCTCCATATTCCATTGTGAGCACTGTCTACTGACAGATGAAAACTGTGCAACAGAAGGGCACTTAGCATGCTTCCACTCTCTGTGCAGCCCTGGGCAAGTCACCTACCTTCTTAAGCCTCACTTTCCTTAATATCTGGAAGAAAATTACAGTAACAAAGTGAAGCACATAGTGTAATATACCTTGCTTAGTGATTGGCACATTGCATTAGTTCACTAAATGTTTGGTTCCCTTCTGATGCCGAGGACTGGTGTTACCCTTTAACTTTACAGGGAGGGAAGTTCACATTCCAGTAATCCTCCAAAGAAGCACAAAAAGGATTCACATGTACTATAGTGTGATTGATGCAGATATTTGTAAAAATCTAGAAATTATAGCTCATTGAAACAGCCCCTGATTTCTCAGAATTATAATTTCTACTGCATGTTTATTTTCACCATATTTCTGGAACTTGATTATTCCCTTACAGGATGATGGATGTTGAATTCTTTCATTTTGCTCAAGCCCTTGATGACTGATAGCATCAAGTTCCTTTTAGAATGAGACTTTGGCCCAGGAAACACAGTGTGTGGGGGGGTGAGAAATGTAAGAGCCAGAGGGACAAGACACCTGCTTCTAGTAAATGTATTCTAGATATGATAGGAAAATTATACCAATAAAATCCCCATAGTATGGTATTCTAAGAAGATCTGCATAATGACAAAACCAGTTGACCTGCCAAGGTAGATAGGAGAATTTTTGTAGGGTCCTTCCCACCTCAGAAAAAGAGTTACAGGTACTCAATGAGTACTGAGGGAGGGAAAATCAGTTTTCTCCAGGGACCAGCTCTGTGAGAGGTTATCTAATCCCAAGTGGACAGCCTAAACACAGGTAGGTACAGATGAGCACTACAATGCATTTTATATCTATTATCTATTGATCTATCGATCGATAGCTAATAGGTAATAGATAGATGATAGATTATATTTAATATGTATATAAATGTATGTATATATAACAATAATTAAAGAGGAGTAGAAGAAATTGAGAGGGAGCTGAGAGGGAACACAGGAGGAGTTGGAGGAGGACTGGGAGGGATGGAAATAATGTACATATAATATTCATGCATGGACTCAAAAATAACATAAAATTTTAAAAGATGAACCTTCCATCATCATTCATTCTGCTAGTGGTTCATTAAGAAATGGGTTACTTTTAGTAACGGTTGTCTGAGACACCTCTTTGGGCACTGAATTGTATTCTCAACCAAATGTCACATCACATCTTCCAAGTTAGCCAGCCTGATAGATGGCATTCAGACTCTTAGATCTCACTGACTCGTGCTCCAATTCATTGACATCCTTTCAAAACCTGTGCATGTCTCTTCCCATTTGTTTCTGAGGAGCTTTATTTCTTCTTGAGGTCTTCTGATTTCCTGTTCTTCCAGAGAAGCTGCTCGAGGATCGATGTTTGGCTGCTGTCTCTATCACATCTTTCATGACCCTCCTTCCTTTGTTGCAAAGCAGCAAGGACTTGCACGGCCAGAGCTACTCTGCATCCTGTAGAGCCTTCACTGCACTCAGGCTGGGTCATACAGTGAGCTGTGAAAATGGAACCATTATTTTTCTATTTTTGTAGCCCTGGGGAACAAATCTAGGGCCTCATAATTCTAGCAAGCACTTTGCCCACAGATCTATACCCCCGCCCCTGAATTATGTGAGGAAAAAGCTAGAGAGAAAAACAGGAACTCAAGAAAGGACTTGCGTCCTCTATGCTAAAAATCCTGGGCTTGATCAATAGTTAGCAGAGAGTAATTTTCAGTTTAAAGAAGAGCTCAACATATATGTGTTTCGGCATCATTGCTCCAGCTAAAATACAGAGGCTGACGTGGAAAGTGACTGAGATTATTAAATCAGGAAGAATGGTCATGAAGATTCAGTAATGGCACAAGAAAGGGAAGGGAAATGCAGGACCATGACTGGAGCAGTGGCCCCATGCTCACTGGAAAGAAAACTGGATTGTTTGGGCTACGTCTACTGAGTCTTCAGGTAAACTGGGTTCTATTAGCTTTGGCTTGTGATATTTACTGTCAGGAGACTGACAAGCAGAAAGAAGAACTCCAGCATATTTCTCCTGCTAGGCCTCAGATGACATCTTCAGCAGCAGTTGTGTTTCCTCCTTGGCTTTAGCTGACTATGTGCACGTGCCACAGTTCTGGCTTCTGCCCAGGGATCCCACCCCTGGCTCTGGGATAGCCACTTCCTCCCTTTGTCTCTGCAGTTCAGCACTGATTGTGGCTTCCTGCTACGGTTAACAGGAACGGCCTTCTTGGCTTCTTGCCTTTTCCATCACCTGAACCAGCAATTCTCTATAGAAAAACCTGTCTGTCTTCTAAGACAGTTGGAAAGGATTTTTTTCTTGGTTGCACCCTGACTGATAGAAAAGGGGACACATTGAGAAATACTTAAGAATTAGAGTCTTTGAGGCTTTCTGAAGATAATAATCCTTATTTGCCTAACTCCAAGTTGGCCTCCTTCTGTGCATTCCCAAACCAATGATTGGTGTATTGACTCCAGCCATGTGACTATGCTGTTGTCATCCTTTTCCATGAGAAAGTAGTTGCAGTGCTATAGAAATCAATGGTCCTCAAATTCCTTATAACAAAAAAAATAAAAGATTAAGATCAATAGGACGCTGCCTATGAGAGGCAGATATATCACAGGATTTGATTTCTCCAGGGCAAGGCCTCCCAGGCCTCCCTCAGACTTTCAGGTTCTGCAGACTAAGAATGAAAACCCTATCAGACAAGGCCAGATCCAAGTGGCCCTGACATCAGGGCTTGATGACAATCATAGCACATGTCAACCCATCAGAACAAAGTTTTAACGTACTATTTTTCCCTAGTGGAATCAGGATAAAGGAAGGCCAATTTCCAGTGACAGTAAAGGAATTAGATACGGAGCACATGAAATTCCATGCTACAGAGAATGCCACAGCATATGCATGGAACATACTTAGCCTAGACAGGTAAGAAGGTAAAAAACAAACAGGCACAACACCCCATGGGAGTCTGAGTTGTGGTCATGTGCCCCAGCTCAGGAGCAGAGTTTGTAGAAGAATAGTCACTTGCCTCTGCATGTGCAGTTTGATCAAGTCACAGGCATTTATCTTGATCTTGACCTTACTTGTATCATTTCATTATTATCATTAAACTTTTTGTTTTTTGGTCCTTTTGAGACAGGGTCTCCCTGTAGCCCCAACTGGACTGGATTCGCTATTGAGACCAGGTTGGCCTTGTTTCAGAATAGTTTAGATTTACAGAAAATTTTCACAGAATGCCCAGAGCATGTCTTTATTTCTCCCCCTCCAGTTACCTTGCAATTAACATCGTACTGTGGAATATTTGCCATGACTAAGAAAAAAGTGTTATTAATATATTACTGCCAATAAACTCTCCACTTTATGTGAATTTAACTAGTATTTCTTTGGTTTTTATTTTTCTAGGATCCTATCAACTTAACATTTAGAAGCATTTTATTTTTATTTTCAATCTATGCTAAGGGTAAAGAGAAAATTTTCTTCAAATCTATCTTATTAAAGGAGTGTCCAAATAGCTCTCCCAGAATTATGGATATGATCCCAAACTTCAGCAATATCCCTTAGGGAAGGCCAGGATGAGTTTTCTTATTTATGAGAGTAAACTCAAAAGTAGGAGAGGCAAAGGAGTCAAGTCACATGATTCAAATCATAGTCTGTGACTTTCTTTCTGGGCAGCCTGAAAAAATATTTAATGTCTATCCCTCTGGGCTTTCATTTTCTCATCTATAAATTGAAAGATGATCCTGCTTACCTTATGGCAATGATGTGTATATTAACATTCTGAATCACATATAAATCTCAAATAGTATCACTTTTCATTTCCCTGGTGACTAAAGATGCTAAATACTTTCTAAAGTACTTATTGGTCATTTGGATTGATGTGGGGAAAATAATCTTTATTCATTGCTGGTGGGAAAGTAAACTGGTGTAGTCACTATGCAAATAAGTACAAGGATCTGAACAAAACCCAAACCCAAAGAACAAAACCTAAGAGTAGAACTATTGTATATGACCAGCTATACCATGCCCAGTCCAGCTATTCTCTAAGTTAGCATACCACAGGGTACTCCACAGTAACAGTGCCTATGGGAAATGTGGCCCATATGCACAGTGGAATTTCATCCAGCCATAAAGAAAAGCAAGACCATAATATTTGCAGGAAAATGGATGAAAATGGAAGTTATTATGCTACATGAAGTATCTCAGACTTGGAAAGACAAGTATCACATGTTTTCTCTCACATGCAGGTCCTAGATTTTAATTTGTATCTGGGGGGCGGGGGATAAAGGTCATAAGATTACAAAAGGTATAATGAGAAGGGAAAAGGAGTTGAGAGGGTATATGTGAGGGTCTAAAATATATGAAACAGGAAAGCAGAGGGGACTGCTATGGAGAGGAAGTGGTGCATCGGGTCACAAAGGGACAGGAAGAAGAAGAGCCACAAAACGATGTGTAGAAATGTCGAAAATGAAGCCTATTACTTTATATACTAATATTTTTAAATCCAATAAAATAGAGAATGTACATAAACTTCTTAGGACTATGCCTGCGTCTGTAGCAAGCATGGAATTCATCTTAGTTGCTACCATCATTGCTATTGGTACCTGATTCTAGAATACCCTGTGCATTTCCTTTCTAGGTCATCATTTCAGTTATACATTTCATATCTCTTTACTTCAGGACTACAGTCCTCAGAAGCTCAAGGATGTTCTTCACTCATAGTAGGTATATTAGTCACTTTTCTGTTGCTGTGATAGAAACACTGACCCAAGCAATTTATAGAAGGAAGAGTTTTTTGAGTTTACGGTTCCAGGGGAATTATAGTTTGTCATGGTAGGGAAACATGGTGGCTGGAGGTGGCTGGAGCAGGAGCAGAAGAAGCTAAGCTCTCACATCATCACGCAGGCACAGGAAGCAAGAGAGCAACTGGGACTCCTGAAAGGCTTAAGAACTCTCTAAGCCCACCCTCAGTGACATACTTCCTCCAGGACAGCCACACCCTCTAAAACCTCCCAAAACAGCACCATCATCTGGGGGCAGAATATCCAAATACTTGGAGCCTATGGGGAACATTATCATTCAAACCATCATAGTAGGTATTCAGAAGATAAGCCCTTCATTGATTTTCATGCTGAACACAAAGCCATCAATAAACCACATGAAATGTAAAAGCTGGAAGGAAGAGAAAATGATTGAGATCCAGATAGAACGAGAGAGAGAGAGAGGACTCAAAGGTCAAATAGGGACATGATATTTCATTATGTTTATTTTAGTGACAAAAATTGTATTTATTTACAGTGCACAGCATGATGTTTTGAAACATGTAATGATTAAACTAAGCTAATTTAGCACATGTACTACCTTACATACTTAGTATCATTTGGAGGTAAGAACACATAAAATCCACTCTCAGCAATTTTCAAGAGTACAATACATTACTATTAACTACTGTCACTATGTTACATGACAGATCTCTTCAACTGATTCCTCCTTATTTGATTTTGTTTCTGAGCCATCATTCTATGACACCTGCCCCTGCTCATAATTTAAACTCAGAATCTCACTGAGTGTGGTGACTTGTGATCCCAGTTGGGAGGCTGAGGCAGGAGGATCACAAAGTCTAGGCCAGCCTGGGCTAAATAGTAAGGCCTTATTGCAAAAAGACATCACATAAATAATAAATAAATTAAATAAATAGTAAATAACTCATTTCCTCTTTGTGTGCTACATGATACAGAAAAGGAATGTATATTTCTGAGGCTAATAAATAACAAAATTTTAGCAGGGAGACATTATGTTTTTAAGTTCTAATCATGACAAAACTACAGAGGGAATGTTAGATGCAAGGCCCATGTATACCTTTCTCGTAAACTGGCATTACCAATGCGCATGACATAGACAAATATTATATTCAAAT